CGATAGATTCAACTTCTGGTTATGCTTGAAACATTACAAATAGCCATCTTCTGCAGTTTACTGTTTCTGTCTTGTGACCCAGCTGGCACCTGGCAGTGTCTATAAATGAAAATTAAGTAGGAATTAAAAGAATTAGAGGAGATTTAAATGGTTTCTTTCTAGATGGGGGAGAATGGTTGTCTGTAAGTGTTTGTGTCCTTTTCAAAAAGGCTTACAGCCTTTGATTAAAAATGCATGTAAGCAACAGTTATTTTTCTTCCCATATTTATTCGTGAGGTATAAGACTCCTCCCCCTCCCCCCCCAATCTAACTGTAGATTTAGATCTGAATATTGCTTATTACTTATCTCTGACATCAATATATCTTTACAATAGCAAAATTATGGCTTTATTTTGAAAAAAAAAGGTGTTTCCTTTTTCATGTGACCGATTTTATTTTTTATTGTCACTTTGGTCTCTAAAAAAAAAATAAAATACACACACACACACTAATAAAACCCACTCCAAAATGTATGAGTATCCAGACAGTCAGCTTTTCATTTGATTATATTTAGGTGAATTGATTAGACTGTCATGACTGTTCCATGTGCCTTGAATAAGTCTATAGTTTAAAAGAGCATTTTACTACATACTTCCATTTAAAAAAGGATGCATTTAAATTAGCTACTACTGGTGCTATCAGTTATTTTTCCCATGCAGATGAACTGAAATAAAAACATTCCCATTTTTGCATAATCAAATTTCTTAAAAATCTCTGCCTCTTATTCCTCATTCTTTTTCTGGAACCATTTCATTTTCTAATCTCAAATTGTGATAAATTAGGGAGTATCTAATATGCATGTGTGATTTTTTTTTTTTTTTTTCCAGTTTTTCAAGTTACATAGCATGAATGATCTCCAGTTCAGGTGGAATCCCCTTTGACCCATGAAGTTGAACAAGCTGCAAAAACCAGTCTGTCCAGTTAGCTAGAGGCTGAGATTTCTTGAAGTGCCAGCTGATATAATAGGCTACAGCTGACAAGTTTTACAAAGAGCTGTCTGACTTGTGATTTTAGAGAGACAGTAGAAAAAAAAAAAAATGAGAGGCAGATAATAAAGCCTATAACAAGGAGATTCTCAAAATCTTAAGGGTCACCCAAGTCTGAAGGTGATTCCAGAGAGATAAAGAAAATAAAGCACAGAAGGGCATTTATACACCTAATGTTTTGCCTGGATCTGCATATCTGACTAGCTCTCAAACAATTTTTTTTTTTTTTTTTTTTTTTTTTTTTTTTTTTACTTAAGACAATACTCCAGGTAAAGAGGTTCATTGTGGAAGGAACTTATCAGAGCAGCAGCCCATAGAGTATCTAGAAAATGGAAGCTACCGTGAGCCAATGCAGACAAGTCCTTGCTTCAGGTACAAAACTACAACCCTCTTTCTTTGCAACACAGCTGAGTCAGGACCTTGTTACCAACTAATGTTTATTCTCTAGTTATTCTCTTGGGATGAACAGATACTAGAAACATTCAAGAACCTCAATCAGCTAATACTGTAAATGAAAATAGCAAGTAATGTTGGTTTTACCTTGCATTGCATGTAATCAAAAGTAATTAAGAGGTCAAACTTAAGAGATGTTTCTTAACTACAAGCACCAACTCTTCATTCTACCTGGTTGAGAGCTTTTTATGTAAAATCAGGCTTGCAGATAAAAGGTGCAGTCCGTGTCACCGCTGATCTTTGAAAACCCTTTTCAGCAATAGCTATTTTGAGATCCAGTTTAATCGTGACAGGTACAGACTGGATGGGACCCTTTGATCAGGAACTCGCTGCACACAACAGATTTCCAAACTTTTGCAGATGAGAAGTTTAGAAGTCTTGGCTCTAAAACGCTTTAAGTTTCAATGAATCCTGAAAGGAAATACTTTAGCCTTGTGTTGCTATTTTTCCTATCTTAGCAATTTTGACCTCCAGGAATTCAGGATCATCAGATGTATCAACAAAGAGGTCACTAGCTGTGATACATATGTAAAGGAAGGTGGAAAGGTTTACCATTGCAAATACAATATAACCTGACAGAAGGATTTGTTTGTTACAAAATACCTAGCTGTGCTCAAGGACTGGCAGAGCTGCCTTGAGATAAGACAAAATGAAACAAAACCACCCTCTTTTTGATCTGGTCACCGCTCAGGGTGGGAGGAATGTATGTCAAGTGAAGGTTGATGAGTGGGTCTGGCCTGTGACACATCCCCACTCTCAAACATCACCTGGGAGCTTTTGG